TTTCATGGTAGAATTCGATAGAATTCTCATTGCATCGACCAGGGGACCTGGTTTTCAGTGGTAGAGTGGATCCTGGTAGATCCCTCACCAGGAGAATCCTTTCTCCGGAACTGAAGACCGACCCTGCGCAGGTCAAAAGACACAGACAACGAACCTGTTTGTGACTCCGCAGGTCAAAAGGTATCACCAACCACCCCAAAATCTGCCCTACAGGTCAATGACCTCATTTTACTCGAGTTGGTCATACAAAAACACTATACTTGACGATGTAAAAGACCAGGTTGCACTGGATCAGACTGGGCTTGTATAGGGATGGTGTTTTGTTCCTAAGAAAACAGGGGTCCTGCCTGGGCTCGAGACTCATTGGATGATTGAAGGGGTGTTTGGACAGCTTCCAGGCGGCGTGTCCCTGTAAAAGCTCTATAGAAGTTACACCCGGAAACCCAAAGAGACTAGAGACTGACATGGGCGGAAGACGTCTTTTCTACTGCAACTGCCGGTGCTTGTGTTTCGGGCTTTGAGGCATGGGTCTCCCACCGCCCAGGGGCGGCCCCTACGGCCGCGAGGTGAAAGGTACGCTGTGGTGTGGGGCACGAGCAGGTTGGAGGCCGCTAGGTCTCTTTGAGCCCACCGAGGGTCCCGTTCCGTCCGACGTTCCATCTGGTCGCAGCCCTCCGAAGCAGCGGAGGCCGTGGGTCGGTCTGACAGCCAAACGGATGGAAACAAGGCCCAAACACGACCGCCATCTGGGACTGCGGAGGCAGTCCTGCCGTTTGAGAAAGACCCCCCCCCAGTCACCCACCACCCCCGACGGCCGTTCCGGAACTCACGGCAGTCCGACCATGGCAGTCCCAAACAGGGCGGTGGTCGTGTCTGGGGTTGTCGGGCGTCCGATGTCCGATGTTGTGACCCAACACGAACCCCATGAGAATGGTCAAAACCGGTGTCCTGCCACGTGGGGACGTGGATTTGATCACCATCTTCATGTCGACGATCCGGACGATCGGGCCTTCCAAGTGAGTTTTTGGGACAACAGAAGACCAGTAAAGGCTATTCCCTAGACTTCCAAGACCATTAAAACAATGGTTGACCTGGTTTTTGATTCGCTCAAACCTATTAATTAATGGTGGTTGGAAGCCTAGGCTATTTATATCCACCTCTTGGAGGGTGCTGGTACATGACGTCTGTGTTTTCCTTCGTCTGTGTTTGCCGGCTCCATCCTTTTCCGGACTCCGGAGGTCGGTATCCGGTCGGTATCCAAGGCACTTCGGGGGACACCCAAGGTCTTATAGAAGTCCCTCCCAGCCTGAGGAGGAGGCGACATGGGATGGTGGGAGTGGGATGGTGTGGAGAGAAGGGACTGAATGGTGTGGAGAAAAGAAGGTGAAGAAGCCAGTGAAAAACCCACCTAATAGCGATGGCCTCACACCCAAAAGAGAACACAATCATCCCCCTTTAAAAGAGAGCCCAAAACTCTTCACCCGGAAACAAGGCGATGCAAAGTGGTTGAGAATCCTGGCAAAAACGGCAGATGCCTTCCTTTGACCAGTCCAGGAGCTGCATAGGTTTGAGAGACTGCTCGGCATTGCTCGGTTGCTTCAAGTGGCAAACGCTCCGCCGGGCGGCCTCGAACGACCCGTCATGCGGTCTTGACAGCTACAGGACAGCAGCTCCGTCTTGGAGCCTGATCTTTTTTCTGTCTGTACTGATGTCTTTTTGAGTTAAGTACGCCGCAGGTACACTTCTGGACGGCGTTGAGATGAATCCTTGCAGGAACATTCCTTGCCGCCAGTTCGGCCGAGGCGCTGGGCTGGGTGGACGCGAGGCGAGTGAACTCACTCTGCGAACCATGAGGTCGGTTATTGGGAGGTACCTCATCATGGTACTCTTCAGGAGCTTCACGGACCTCCTGGGACCTTCACTTGAGCGATCCAGTCGTAGCTTCCTCCGGGTCGGATCATCCTGCCGCTGCGCTGCGCTGCACAGCCTCGCCCTGAAACAGGCCCCCGCTGCTTTTGCTTCGCCAGACTCGAGTGGAGCCAACAGAACAACATTAAAAAACACAACACTCACTACCCCAACAGAGGTTGAAGAACCCTATAGACTATCCTATAAGTACCCCTGGTGACGGGTCCTAGTTCAGGTCACTGGCTACCTCTATTGTCCGGTCGCCGCGGAGGAAGAGATGCGGTCGACCATGGCAACGCCTAGACCGACCGCCGCAAGTCGGTTGGAACCAGTTCGGAGCGAAACGGCGGACGGCTCGGATGTACTCAGATGTACTCTGTGCCGCTGGGGCACAGAGTATACCCCCAAACGAACGGACACCAGTGCCACTGTGAGGCCCCGCTCAAGTGCCTCAATTTATATAGGTGTGATCATGTTATACTAGCAAAAGTGGAATGGTGGGTGCTACCTCACTGCAGAGATAAACACCCAAACATGTTGAAGATGCCCTGGAAGCTCCTCCGATGCCCCCTTCTTGTAGGGGTGCATGGGTCGCGCCACGGAAGCATGTGGGTGTGTATTTTATTAGGAAGACCCCCTGGCCCCAATGGGTTTGGGATGGTAGACTGGTTTATTTTCCGAACCTTCCGGAGGGTCATTGCCTGGGAGGTGTTCCATTTTACCACACACCGGTGCACCCACAAAGATATGGTTGCAGAATGATATTTTAATACACACTCTCCATGTTCAAGCGTGGGCTATGCTGAGGTGTGAAACAGACCTGTGCGTCGGTGTGGCGTTTTCTGGACCCGAAAGCTTTCGGGTGCGAATAGGCCCAATCTCCGCGACCGGCCCAGAATAGGTCTTCATGTTGGATGTTTTTGTTTCAAGAACTCAAGCAGTGAACTGTTCATCTGTTAAACTTGAAACCATCTGCAAGCCCCAGCTGGGTGGGTTTATATACTCGCCTCCACAGCGGTGGCCGCTGCCAAGAGCAGCAACAGCTGCAGCCAAGTACTAACCCAGCCCTGCGAGCGCGGGTGCGTGGCCTTACACCTCCCATGGCCATGCATGCACTTCTTCAAGCAGCACAGAGGTCTGGTCACAAGGTCGTCTGTGTCTTGGATATGCTTAAGGAACCTGGAACAAACAAAGACATTCCCCATGCCAGGGGATTTACAGTTTACAGTAACCATTACAGGGCAAATCATATCCACGACGATCAGCAAAACCAGTGTTTCATGCAGAGATCATGTTCCAAGTGTTCGAGTCCAAGCACCCACTTCGCTTCAAAACGACCGAGCGCTTGACCTGCCCAATGTCGGGTGAAAGAATGACTCGACGTCGCTTCTTCCCAGCTTGGTCCAACTTGGTTTTTGAAAGTCCAACTTTGAGGCCAACAGCCCGCTATTTGCTTGTTCTTTTAGTTCGATTTCTCCAGCCACATGGTGCCAAATCCAGGGCCCCCTGCCCCTCCCCGTGCTCTTCCCCCTCTGTCAGCCCGCAGACTCTAAGTGCCATTTGTTCTGAGGCTTCGAAGCTTCTAAGTGCCTTTGTGTGGCTCTTTTTGAGGGTAAGAAAATGCACCCATCTTCCCGGCTTGGCTTCCCCCAATTTTCTCCGCTTCCATCAAACCTGTCCAGAGTTCCTGGGGGGGGGGGGGGAAAGCAGAAAGCCGCAGAAAGCAGATTCCCATGGGAGAAGACCAAAATCATCCGATCCGCAGAACTACCTGGACCCGACTGACCCAGTACCTTAGAAAATGGGACATGACCCCATAAAACAGGTACGACTGTACTCATTTTCCAAGGTACGAGTTCCGGGTCGACTCCAGGTAGATCAAACATGTTTTGGTCTCTCTCCAAGCCGCTGTGGCGGACAACGACTGCCTTTCTACTCCGCCTTTCTACGCCCACGACGGCGCCACTTACCCTACGCCTGCCGCCGCGCTCCATCGCTCATGCCGGGTGAACGAAGGGTTTCGGGAGACGGTGAATTGATCCCATGCCACTATAAGGATTGATCCAATGCGACGGAGAGAAGGATGGTGGAGTTGGGTATTGGGTGGAATTGGGTGGAATTTTGCTTTGGAATTCTGCTGAATCCAGCTTGACTTCTTGTTTTCCTCAGGTTTCTGAAGGATTCCAAGATGCGCCAAAACACGCATCTGCGCCTCTCTTGCTGGGCAAACTTCGTGGGACCGACGGTGCCGGATTCGTGCTGAAACCGCTGTCGGCCAGTGACATCTCGGGTTGTTTTGACTCGGCTGTTGTATAGGGCCAGATCTTTGATCTTCACAGGTCAAACTCGAGTTGGAGGCTCTGCCTGTGCACCTAGACGTGCTTCTTCCGTGCTCTTCTTCCTGTTTAGATCGGATTTCTACAAGCCATAAGATTAGAATCTCTTCTTCTTGTGTTGTCTCACCTGGAGCAAAAGCTGGCAAAATGAATCAGGCATCGACATTGATCGATGTGTGTTCCAAGGTCTACTTCCACTACAGCTTTGGGGCTCCAGCCTCCAGGAATCACAAATCTCAAAGATCGGAACTGACACTCGAAAGACATGAAGGAACAAAGAACTCGAGTGCCAACTTCATACCACCTCCATCCACCTCCCAAGTTTGCCTGTCAACTCAACCTCTCTCAACCAGTTGACACCCTTGCCAAACTGCACCGGACAGTTGCCAAAAACGCTCCACCCGAGAGTTACTGCCGTGAAGGAGGGCGGTCGACCGTCGTCCGCCGCAGCCATGGTCCGTCGAGTAGGTCGACCCGCTTTTGTCCCGAAAAGGAAGGAGAATAGACCCAGCTAGTAGTAATGCCCTTGTTACTACTAGCTTCTTGTTCCTAGTAGCGATGGCCTCCAACCTAATAGCGATGGCCTCGGACTCGGTCGCTGGATGACCGGCAGCTCTTCACCACCCATTCCCAGCTCTTTTTTTTGGTCGCCCATAGAATGAGCTTGTTCAGCCTCGGTGGAGGACCATGCGTCATGAGCCAGAAACAGAGGTTTTCTCTAACACCCATCACCCCTTGAGAAACGTCCAGATCGTCGAGTCAAGTTGAGATGCCTCACATAAGGTGCGAAGGTGGGAAGTCTAGCAGCGAAGAACAACTTGTCTGGTCGAACTCTCCCACAAGAACGGTGAAAATCTCGCGGTGCTGGTGATGGGCATTCTCTTTGCCGATGTTGGTACCGCATCACGCAGGTCCTGGCGGTCACATCGATATCCACGCATCACACAGGTCGCGCTGATAGCTGTTGAGTAGGTCTCGAACTTCGAGCTAGAGGACCCCGCTACCGGCAATGTGTGCACAAGTTGCGATGAATCACCCATGGTCCAGGGTGGCCAGAAATGATGTCCAGTACTCAGTACTCTTCAAGGCTTGGTGACCAGTGCTCTGGGTGGATTTGTTCTTCTGCTTTGTCGTCTTCTTCTGCTGCTGCTTCTTTTTCTGCTTCTTCTTCTTCTTCTGGTTCAGGACATCAAACCCATCCAAACCGAATAGTAGGGATCCGCTGTAGCGGTGTGTGGACCATTTTGGACCCTGCTGGCGACCGACCGCCTACATAGTACGTGTCGAACACAAAAAACCCTTGATAGGAGGGTGGCAGTGGATCAATATGGTGTTGCCTCAATTTTCTGGACACTTCTCCTCTCTCATGCTTTCTCACGACAGCTCTTCGAACCAAAATATGTCTGATGTAGAAATCTGGGTGTCTGGCTGGGCTCTTTGAGCTTCTCCTGGCTGGACGAGCCCTTGGCTTCACCCCGCCCACTGGTGGAGCTCCAAACACGACCAGCTTCGAGACTGAATCCGCTGGAGGTCTACGATTAAGCAATAACATCACTTTGACTGCACAGTCAGACCCCCCAAATCCCATCCAACCGCCCCGCAAAAAAGACGCCCCCATAGGTCCCCCCGTCTTGACTGGTCCATTGCTGAGTTCGGAAACTGTTTCAGGTGAAGCAACTCCGCAACTCCCCCCCTGTTCAGTCACAGTTTTCTGGTAAAACAGTGGGTTGTCTCCAGCGGTCTGGCAGGTGGCATGCGGAGCCCGGAACGAAGACCCTGGTAGGTGGACCAGACGTCTGGTATAGGTCAAGTTTCTGGACTGTTCAGTCAACCAGCGTTTTGGCCGGTGCGATCGAACCTGTACTTGTCCTGCCTACCTTGAGTCATCTTGAGTCCCGATCACTACGGTGAGGGAGAACAAAACCACCAGGACGACGAAGGCGGAGCCGAAGTCCGGAATTCGCAGTCACGACGTCGGCGCCGACGACGTTTTTGCGCACTGGATGCCACAGTCAGTCAAAGGGCCATCCTGGGACATGCAACATTGACATCACGCCATGATTGGCAAAATATATACCTGGAGTCTCAAATTCGACCCGGAACTCGCACCCTCGGAAAATGGGGTACAGTCGTACCTCGTACCTGCTTGGGGTCATGTCCCATTTTCTAAGGTACGAACTGGAGGGTCCAGGTATTGGCATGCTCAGGCCGTGAACATGTCGTGATCCATTGAGAAGATTGGGCCTCTCTCCTGGCATCGGCATGCGACCCAATCAGATCAGACTAGTGGATTTATGTGGATTCCCATGGTTTGCACCAGGCGAGCTCTGAGTCGAGCTCGGGGCTCCATTTCCAGAATCTCACACCATCGCCTAGGCCTAAACCTCACAGAGATGTTCTTCGCATCCATCGATCTCAGCCTCCTTTCTCAGCATCGACCAGTACCCCACAGTGCCGACCAGATTGGGCCTCTTCCCGGCGTGGCTTCTTGCTGTCCGGCTCCGTTGGGTCCTGGAATCGAGGCTCGAAGAACGGCTCGAAGAACTCCTCGAAGAACTGCTCGAAGAACTGCTCTCGGCTCTCGGTCGATGATGACCCTCAAAAGCCGACCGTCCAAGACCGTCGCTTCGCCCTTTTGGTTGGGGGAACTGACCGAAGCACAAAACGTCGGTGTGGTTCCGGTGTTTGAGATGGAGAAGGACAAGAGAAGGACGTAAACTGAAAGGGCTCTTGGTGTTCAGACCCTGTATACCAGGACCCTCCAAGGGGTGTCCATTTGTAGCCCCTTAGCTGTTAAGGGGTGTCCATTAATCACCCCTTGGGGGTCCTGGTATATAATTCTACCCTAGGATTCCAAGCACCACTAATTCTATAGGCTTTATCGAATATAATGTCGAACTGCCATGTGTGTTTTACTATAGGAGTTTTTAATAGTTTTGACACTACCAGATTACCAGGTCGTTTCCATTTTAAAGATCCTCTTGGACTCCCTAATTCGGTAGCTCTGACGCTACGAACGGGGCTCCTGGCACGACTAGGAGCGATCGGACGCTACGTCATAGGGTCCTAAGGAGCAGCCACGTCCACAAAGATGGAACATGTTCGAATTAGACCCCTCCAGTCGCCCAATCGCGGCTCTCTGTCTGGCTCCGCCTCTGGCTTCTCCACCCCTGGCCGAACAAGGGAGACGTTCCAGCTCAAGAAGCAGCACCGGCATCAGCTGGACGTCGAACAGAATTCGCAAGGATCCGCATGGATCCGCAGCATGGTTGGGTTGGTCCAAAACCCCCCCCTAGTGGTCAACCCGAATCGAAGTGACCATCACCTGGTATGCCAAAGACTGGTATGCCAGAGGCCTCACTGGCCTCCCCGAAACGACCACCTCGTCGGCTCTGTGGATGCCGAGCCGTCAGCCGACCGGAAACACCCGCTTCGTCGGCGCCGACCGGTCACCGGCGCATCCCAAACCGTTTAGGGGCTGCTGGATCGGAGAGGCCGAAGCAGCACTCGCCGGGTGCGGACGGAGGAACTTCGGGGGGGTGTTCCGCACGACAGCGAGGACGAGCAAGGCGTTGAAGTGGAACAAAGGTGGGTGGGCCGAAACAATCCGAAGTGCGACCACATGGGTCACCACTGGTGAATCAACTTACAGCAAGGAATCAGGGTGGACAGGGCAGTACTAACACCTACATGGCCAAGGTGACTGAAATTGGCCCCTTCGTTCAGGGGGTGTCCTTGAACCCCCCAAACCGGGGCCCTGGTACAGGCGATGCAGATGTTCTCTGAAGCAAGTAGAGGACAATGATGTTGCTCTAATCATCGCTGGGGGGGTGCACTACCTTCCTTGCTGAAGATGTTCAGCTGCACTTCGACACAAATTGGTCAAGGATGTTGAAGGACGTTCAAGGAACCTTTCCAGAAAACCCTCTCAGGTCACCTGTCAAACCCATCAGTCCACCATTCAATTCGTTGGACCGTCCCAGCTCTCGACCTGTCCACTGGCCGTCCGGGCCGTCCGGCCAAACGGTCGGCCGTACACGAACCACCCGGCGACAACGGTCGCCGCGCGTCCGGACCGGCCCGTGAACACCCGTTTTTCGGTCTGAAACGAGAGGCCTCGATGGGGATGAACCTGGGGGTGAGACACACATCTTCGCAGCCGATGGTGATACTTCAGAGGGGGAGCCGGCTCAAGGCTCCCTCGTTCGCTTGGCAAAGAAAGAGAAGGACTCATATATATTCATATATTATATATATAGAGAGAGACTCATACTCTTACCCGATTAGGAAGTTTGGAGGCAAGAATTAAAGCATATCGATCTTTGCTCTCCTTCAACCCTGCTTACAACATTGAAGAACAATTCAAACGGAGCGAGCAGGCAGGAGACACACCAGCAGAAAGAGGAGCAAACAGGTTAAGCAAAATGTAGACTGAGGACAAATGAGGCAGAATTGGCCCACCCGGTTGGCAAAGTGCAATCCAGAGCAGCCCAAGAACAGTCTACTAAAGAGTGCAATCGCAAATCCGCAGCAGCACAGCGCAAACATACTACATGTCAGGTGGTACTATTACGACCCCGACCCCTGAAACAATATATGCTAAGGTTGAGGGTATATACTGTCAGGCCGTCACGCACTGGGGGAGGTCGTCATGCACCGGAAAAGCTTTACCACGTCAACTGCAAGCTATCCATCTGGTCCTTGGCCATCTGGTCAGATGTTTTCTGTATGCCTGTGTTGGGGGAATCCAAGTTCCAACCTTCGGGTGCGTCACTCTCACGACGTCACTCTCATGGCTCGGTGATGCTCTGTGATGCTCGTGACTCACGTGGCAGAAATGGCAGCACTAGAGAGGAGCTTGGTCTTCCGAAGAAACCGGGGGCGCGATCCACGGTACCGCGTGAGTCAGGCCACGTGGCCCGGGAGTCGTACGGAGTCGAAGCGATGTCGACTGCGGCGATGTCGTTTTCTGAAGACCACCAAAGGTCACCATGTCGAACCGATGCCAGATCTAGCTCCAGTGAGACGCAGAGCTGGCAGCTGGCGGCTGTGGACAAAGACTCAGAATGATACTACCCTAAACCCTGAACTCTTGAGATTGAGCAAAGAAGCTTCTTGGGCAATCAAGAGACCCGAAAAAGGATCTGCCTACTCAGCGTTACCATGTTATACAACCAAATATCCCATGTCTATGCCAGGAGCCACATGTCGGGGTTGTTTTCAGTCCCATCCAGTGAGTGGATGTTCTGGGCACCCCTATCCTCCAAGTTCGGCACCCCGACATGTGTTTCGTGGTGGTGTCGTTTTTTCCCTCAGTGTCTGTGGATCTCTGGTCTTTCTGAATCCATCGGGTGCTGCTCATTTAGGGTTCCCTCCTTTGATATCATCACCTCGCTCCAAAGAGTTGTATCAATTTATACAATCATGAATCATGATGTGGTATTAAATAGTGTACAATCATGTAGAATCCAAATGGGGGTATAGTCATGTGTCAACTTTGAAAAGCCCTTCCGAAGTCCACGCCGCAGCTGCGTGCTCTACACCAGCATACGGCGGTAGATCAGGAGGCGTTCCCACCCGTGCTCGTGAATCACCTGAAACGATCGAAGATGGGAGGGGAGTTGCTGAACAATGGCTCTAGAAGCTATTGGGCTGATGCTCTTCTATTCCGGGAAGCTCGATCTCAAAGGGCGGTCTTTGGTCCAGTACAGTCTGAGTGTCTCCCCGCTTCCTTCTTCGTAGAAGCCTTTGAGATGTGGCCGAACAGCGGCCTTCCAGTCCGGCGGAAGCCTTACGGCATGTGAGTGTGCTGTCTTGCACGTTCCCTAAATACGCGTCCCGTCCCTTTCTCTCATCCTTTCTGACTCTCTTCTCTTCGAACGAATCCATTGTTACACTCGTGATCTGACTAACATAGAAGTGGAAAAGGCTTTAGAGGGAAGAAGTCTACTTTCGTTTAGAAGCCACGTACCCATGTGATAAGCTCTGAAGAGAGTGGCTGTGGCACAGCGGCTGTGGGTCATGGCACCGGGCCCAGAAATCACCCCAGGTTGACCTCGTAGTAGTAGGTCTAGTGAACAATACCGGCGCCCAAACATGCTAGAAGTACAACAGGACCCTGGTCACCACAACTGGCCATAACCCGCCACAATCACAAGGACAACATCAGCCTCATATGAATCATGAAGGCTTGGATAACCTTGGTCTCATGTCAAGTATGAGTTCCTCCTCCAGTCTCATCCAGGCATACATCCAGTCTCATCCACCTCGCTAAGCGTTGTCCATGAGGTCTAGCAGGTCATCTTCCGGGGGTGGTGGTGGAGGTGGTACCTGACCAGTCGTCCGCTGGGCGGCGAAGCAGCTCGTGATCAGGTCGTGGGCAGATTGGACCAAAATGCTCCCCAAGACAGGCCCCACGGGACCCGAGACAGGCCTCAGGTCCGGGGTCTCCGGGGTTTCTCACCAATCCCGCTTCGGGACCCCGGGTTCCGTCGGGCTGTCACGGAGCGTCGAAGGGTCAGAACTGATTGACCACCCGACTGAACCAGGTCTTCTCCGATGGGCTGAAGACAAACCAGGTTGTGGCGTGTGTTCGGATGCTGGTAGAGGATGTGGAAGCCATGCCCGAACGGTAGAACGGTCGCTAGAACCGTTGTACATCTCCTATTGTTTGATCAACGGTCTACACATGTCTACACATGTCTACACCACTGGGGATCTTCCAGATTTCGGGCAGCTTCACGACTCTGACCAATTCTCCATAGAGCCTCGAACCCCCTTAGGACACTGTGAGCAAAAGGGGTGGTGCATGGTGGTGCAAAAGTTTGGGTCTTTCCTTCAATCGTCCGAAGCCAAAAGTTGGTTGGAGGCCATCGCAACTAGGTTGCAGGCCATCGCTATGAGGGTGGAGGCCATCGCTATTAGGTTCCTTTTGCTATATTAGTTTGATGTCGCCCTTCCAGCGGTCTTGCGGACTTCGGGTGATGTCCACTCGGAGTTTGGTCCACGCATCGACCCATAACCATCCTGGACCCGTGGTGCTCGTGGAGGTCATGTAACCAGGTTGTTCGTACCCGGTGATCTCAGTCACATGTAAGCATATCATCTGGGTGATGCTGTGATGCTTGCACTTCCATGGCGTCTCTGCTCATGAGGGTTTTGCCCAACGAATGTCGGTTCCGCTTTCAGGGAAGCTACAGTTGACCCTATACATTTGTTGGTTGAATGTCTTACATGAATCGTTGGTTCGGTTACCATTCCCCAAATGATCCATGCTGGCGCATGGATAAGGTCTACAAACAGACTCACTTCCTTACTCCCACGCCATGTTTCCAGGCGCAGCCGCTGCATCCCTTCATCTTGAATAAAACAAAACGTTCTTTTCACCAAGCCAGTGAATCCAGGCAGCCAGTATGCAAGAAGCCAGGGAATTCTTATATTAATGGAACTTGGGTCTATCCTATTACCTGTAACAGTGGATGATGATGGTTCAGTTGCAGGCCTTGTTCAAAAAATGATGATAATTGTTTACTGACTGTTAATTACAGGTAAGAACGGACAGACCCGGAACCATAGTCTTCCAGGAACCTCTGGTGACCAGAGGTTCAACCTTACTCGTTCGAACTGCCTGGATCTACAAACACGCCAAATACATTCGCAATCCTTTGCCGCGTTCGCCAAGGGCTCGCGCTGTCCGACCCCTGCTGAAGCAGGGAGAAGGTCCGACCCCTGCCCGCCCGTGTGGATTCTTAAGGTTAAGCATATGGAACCTCATATACCTATAGATCTTCCAACTATGCAAAATGTATGCCTTTTGGATCCTTTTGGCTGGTTTTATTCACTAAAAGGCATTTTCATCTTGCATAGTTGGAAGATCTATAGGTATCCTCAGGATTATCCGAGCCTCATAGAAAAAAGGCCTCGGGGGATTTCTCACCCATCCCGATTCGGTCGATCAACGTCACCGACACCGACACCGCCGGTCGACCGCCAGGGTCCGAGGCGCGAACCCGGTCCGAGGCGCGAACCTCGCATGGCCTATAGTACTCCAAGCAAAAGCCCCGAAACCCCTCCGGTGATGAGCGTTTTGCAAGATGTGGAAGCGCTGTAATGGATCCCTCACCTGGGGCCCAAGATCCCTCATCCAACGTCAACACCGTCGAAGGACGAC